CATGGTTCCCTGCCCTGTGGAAAGTCCAAGGTCCTCCCCCCCTCCGTCCATGTCTAGGAAGGTGAACATCCAAACTGGCTAGGCTCCCACCAAGCCGGATCATGAAGTAGGATCAAAACCCCGTGCCATTGACCTTGGCTTCTCATCAGTCCTCATTGTTCACCATGATCAGAGAGTCCGGTTTTATCCCATGCTTTTTCAGTCACAGTCCAGCTGGCCTTGGTGAGTTCCCAATAGATCAGCCCCACTGTCTCAGTGGGTGGGTGCACCCCCTCCCGTGGTCCTGACATCCCTGCTCGTGTTCTCCCTCCATCTAAACACAGGAATATTCTTTTTATGTGCCTGACACATGCATGGCCCAGTACCTGATGCCGCTACTTACCCTGACCTAAGAAGGGAAAAGTGCACCCATTCTGAGATGGGAGTATGGTGGTTTGAATAAATATGGCTTCCATAGGCTCATGTGTTTGAATGCTTGGTCCATAGGGAGTGGCACTATTAGGGGTGTGGCCCTGTTGAAGTAGGTGTGGACTTGTTGGAAAGTATATCACTGTGGAGGCAAGCTCTGAGGTCTCATATGCTCAAGTTATGCCCAGTGTGGCATAACATTATCTCCTGTTGCCTGGGGATCAAGATGTAGAATTCTCAGCTCCTTTCCAGAACCATTTCCACCTGCATGCCACATCGTGATGATAATGGCATGAACTGTACCTCTGAACTGTAGGTCACAATTAAATGTTTTACTTTAAAAGAATTTCCAGGGCCATGGAGTCTCTTCACAGCAATAGAAACCCTAACACAAGAATAAATGGCACCGATAAATGTCAAAATACCTGCAACTGGGCCATTTGCTCCTCTTTTCTTCCAGGAAATGGTGCAGACCTGAGAAGACAGGACAGGATGACAGACGCCATGAGAGGGAAAATACAAGCTTGGCCAGGTGAGATCCAGGTGCCCCTTGCCTCCAGAGGCAGGCTGTAGTAAGAGGGGGAGCAGGCCACATCCCACCTAGCTAGCTTATACCCAAAATAATAACACAGAAACTGTATTCATTTAAACACTGCCTGGCCATTAGCTCTACCCTCTTATTAGCTAACTCTCACATACTGATTAACCCATTTCCACTAATGTGTATCACCACTTGACTGTGGCTTACCAGCATGAGTCTAACCAGGGTCCGTCTCGGGCAGGAGAATCATGGCATCTGCCACACTTCCCTTCTCCCCAGCAATCTGTACTGTCTACTCCACCCACTTAAGATGCCCTATCAAAAGGCCAAGGCAGTCTCTTTATTCAACCAATGAAAGCAACACACAAACAGAAGAACCCCTACACCAACCAGCTAACCCCAGGATGTCCCACCCTAGGCTATAGGCAGGGACAGCCTTCCCAAGTGTTCTTACTTCATACTGGGCATCCCCCAGATGTTCACTCCAATCCTGGGAAACGTGGCCAAGAAGGGCATTGGCTCCCAGCAGCATCAAAGACAAATTTCCTGTGTTCAGAGGTTGGTGCTGGGCTGTGATGGTTCAGCAGGTAAGGGTGCTTGCTGCCAAGCCTGATGACCTGAGATTAATCCTCAGGACCCACATGGAGGGAGATAACTGGCTCCCACAGGCTATCCTCTGACATGAGGTTCTGGCATTACACACTCGCTAATAACTGTAAGTCATTCTTTCAAAGGTGTGTGGTGCTAACGTGTGTGCTCATGGAGTAACCATAGCTACGTTCATTAGCCTTCTACATTCCAAATCTGCCATCTGCAAGAGGGCTGTTAGAGTGTTAGCATTCAGTGTTAAGGGCTGCTGGGATTCTGTGCACCAGCAGTGGACAGCTACTGTAAGAAATTAAACCTCTCTATCCCCATGAGTGTCCATAAGAGTCATCACAGAACTGTCCTTGCACTCTAACCCCAGTGAGAGAACTGAGCATGCCTAGGTGGTAGAGCCCCTGCCTAGAATCCCCCAGTGATGAACTGGGGTGTGACTCAGTGGTAGAGCCCCTGCCTAGAATCCCCCAGTGCGGGGCTGAGGTGTGACTCAGTGGTAGAGCCCCTGCCTAGAATCCCCCAGTGAGGGGCTGGGTGTGGCTAAGTGCTAGAGCCCCTGCCTAGAATCCCCCAGTGAGGGGCTGGGTGTGGCTAAGTGGTAGAGTCCCTGTCTAGATCTCCCAGTAGCTCAATGTGTCTGGCAATGTCTACCAAGATAAAACGTCCCATCCTACAGTAACCCTCCTTAGATGGAGGGTATTCTAAGGGGAGGTAAAATATTCCATCATGCAGGGAAACTCAAAAAAGTTCAGGAAATAAACAACTCCAAAGCTTCGGGAAGTCCCAGACACTGACCAGGTTCACTAGACCTCACCCTTCCCAGACATTTATAAGCAGTAAGGAATACTGAGTGACATCTCAGCAAGCTAAGCTGCCTAGAAGATGCTCACACCTGCAGAAGTCCCCAAAGCACAGACCAGCTGAGCTGACAGAGATTCAGACCAACTGAGGCACTTGGAATGGACGCTCTCCAACTGGCTGACCCGCCTGCAGACTGCAGTGTGCTCCGGGTTTCCAGCTTTGTGAGCTGTCACCATGCTGGAGGGGGCTTTGGTGATGCAGCTGCCTTTGAGTCATTTCTGCTCCTGTAGGTAATATTACTATAAGCAATTTCAATAAAAACTCATTGGGTCACCATGTTGGACTTTCTGGGTTGTCACTGTTCTCTATCTGGGATGAGCAGGCATTTGGTCATATCTCCCCGAGAATAATGCCACACAATTTCAATGGTAGAGTCACTTCAAGGAACCTAGCAGTGAGGATTGGAGACGCAGCTCAGTGGTGGAAGCACTGGATTCTACCACCAACACAGAAAAGTAAATAAACAGCTAAATGGCTGGGGATGGCTCACTGGATAAGGGGCTCATTTCACAAACATGGAGCACCTGAGAGCAATCCTTAGCACTCATTGGAATCGGAACCTCATGGCTGTTTGCTTGTGGGAGATGGAGAGGGGGAGCACTGGGGCGTGCTGACCACCAGCCTAACTCCCAGTCCAGAGAGAGATTCTGTCTTCAGAGAATGGAGCAGTGACAGAGCAAAACACCAGATGTCCTCCTCCTGCCTCTGCACTTGCATGGGTGTTTGCACCCCAAAGACACAGACATTCACTACACAAACACACACACAAAAATGAAAATTATAATTTAAAAAGAGAAACAAGGGTATTGTCCAGAGTGTCGGAGAATTGGAGCTGTGCATAACAAACATCAAACATGGTTAGCTGTCGATAAGACCATTCTTGTTGCCACTGAAGTTAGCAGTCCACACGCCAGCCTTCATTTGTCTTTGGGAAGTATTTATTTAGGTTAGTAATCGCAAATGCATACACATCACCCTTTGGCCATACTAAGAAGGCTTTAACGTCTTTAGAATAGAATGGATATTCTTTAACATCCCACCAAAACTGCCTAGGGACAGGGATAGATGAGTGTTGAAACTGTTTCTTTCACATCCATTTTCAAAGAAGTTGAATATATTCTCACTGAGTCAAAGGTACCTGTTGAAGGGCATACCCATGAAAAACAGCCACTACTAATTCCTGTCTGCCAAACCTACACAAGGCAAGAGGCATGATGGGAACTCTACCTGGATCCTATTCCCTAAAATATGTGGATTAGATGGGAGACATATCTGAGACCAGCAACAGAGATACCAGCAAACTCAGCCCAACACAATCAACCTGAGGAGAATGTCTGGCAGTTTCTTGTTCTGGAAATGTGAACGAGGGCCAGGAGGTTCAGAGCATTGTTCTGGCCTTTGTATAGTATTGGTTTGCAGCATACTTGCTGCATGTTCACTGAGAAAAGTACAGAGATTGCTTGGGTCTGTCTGTTGTCCTGATGTGATGTTTTGTGATTATGCATTTGGGGTGCTCATGTATGTCATGTCTAGTTGGCCAACTGACCAGTGGTGCACGTCCCCGGCCACAGCTGGCAACAGTCTTGACGCCTCCTGTGTCTGCTATTAATGAAACCACCCTGGGCTCCACGTCTGTTGGTTCCTTTCTTCATTAGTCTACTGTAACTAAACACCTAGCAGAGCGACTTAACAGCAGAGGAGGTCTATTTGAGCTCTGGGTCCTGGAGCGTTGTCAGAAAGGCATGGTGGAGCAAGCATGTGGAAATGCCTCATGTCAGAGTGAACAGACTGCAGTGGTCGAGGGGGAACAATCTTTACACACTGGAAATATGTACTGATCTCACTGGTAATAAAAAATAAGGTGTTTGGCTGAGGGATAGGCAGGATTTTTTGGGACAGAGAGAATGTTGGAAAAAAGAAGGGCGGAGTCAGAGGAGTTACCAGCCAGATACAAGGAGGGAAATAGGAGGCACAAGATAGAAGAGAGGTAACACCACGTGGAAGAATGTAGATTAATATAAATGGGTTAATTTAAATTGTAAGACCTCATTAGTAATAAGACTGAGCTATCAACCGAGCACTTATAATTAACACTAAGTTTCTGTGTAGTTAGTTGGGAACAGCTGCTGCAGCACAGAGAAACTCTGCTTACACTGTTCAGGTGGGCAATAGCGGTTATCACAACCCTAAGGCCCATCCACACAGACCAACTTCCACCTGATACTTCCCCATAACCTCCCAAAACAGTGCAAACAGCCAGCGACCAAGTACTAAAACACATAAGCCAGTGTGGGACACTACTGAGTCAAACTATAAATATGCTTGTCTCTTTAATCTTTTAAACTCTTTTTCCTGGGTTTTTTTTTTTTCAAAATAGGATTTTTCTGTGTAGCCCTGCTTCCTCTGGAACTCACTCTGTAGAATAGCCTAGCCCCAAACGCAGAGAGTTGCCTGCTGTTGTGAATTATTTTAACTGGGCAAACATGTGTTCCATTTGTTTATGTTGTAGACTATTACTTTAACTGTGCAAAGGTGTGTTACTTCTTTATGCTGCATTTGTTTAATTATGTAGAGATGTGTTGTATGTTTTACCTTGACTGTCTAAGACAGCTGAGCGGTCTAATACAAAGCTCAATGGCCACTAGCTAGGCAGAAGAGGGATAGGCGGGCTAGTGGGCAGAGAGAATAAGTAGGAGAAACCTAGGCTTGGAAGGAACGAGAGAAAAGAATGAGGGAGAAAAGGAGGGATTGCCTGGGACAAGTAGTCAAGCAGATGCCAAACAGCCAGGCAGAAGCAGTGAAAGTAAGATATCCAGAAGTAAGAAAGGTAATAAGCCCAAGGCAAAAGGTACATAAAGAGAAACAGGTTAGTTTAAGTTAAAAGCTAGTCAGTAATGTGCCTAAGCTAGGTGGTGTATTCAAAACAGTAAGTCTCTATGTCATGACCTGAATTGGTTGGTGGCCCAAAAAGAAAAGGCCTGGAACAGCCTGTCTAATCTTTTACATTTTTAACTTTTTTGGGTTTTTGTTATTGATGGATTTTTTGGAGGCGGAGGTTGTTGTTATTATTGTTTTGGTTTTTTTGAGACAGGGTTTCTCTATGTAGCTTGTGTAGCTTTGGAGCCTGACCTGGAACTTGCTCTGTAGGATGAGCTAGCCTCGAACTCAGAGATCCACCTACTTCTGCCTCTTAAGTGCTGGGATTAAAGGCATGTGTCACCACTGCCCAGCTAAACTTTTTAATTTACTCTGTCCTTGTATCTTAAGTGAAGTTCTTTCAGAGAGCATATACTTGACTCTTGCTTTTAAGTTTACATAGATAGATGATAGATAGATAGATAGATAGATAGATAGATAGATAGATAGATAGATAGATAGATTTTATTTATTTCTTTATTGACACAAGGTTTCATTATGGCTGGCCTGGAACTCACCATGTAAACCAAGCTGGTTTGAAATTTAGAGATCTGTT